GCAGAACACTATAATTATTAAAACCTTGGGCTAATACTAGAGAAGAGTTAAAGGAAATGTTGTAAAACAGAGAAGCAATAGGTGGTACTTGCATAATTTCATGTCAATTTGAAGGTATATAAAGGTGTAGGGGAGGAGGTTGGCCCGTTCATCAGCTCATAGCCTGATGGTGACTCCTGTGGGCGTGGCCTTCTCATAAAGAGGGTTCTGGGAAACCTCACCCCCACTTCACCTTCCTGCTGGTGAGCCACTCTGAGACCTGCCAGAAACACCTCCATTGGATCCACAAGACTGCACCCACAGGCCTGTGATCTTGTATTCTGCATCATTGCGTGAGGTTTTGTGAGTCTGAAGAGGGACTTGTTGGCTAGTATCAGACTTATGGGCTTGAGTTGGACTGGGCTGTGATGTTTCCTTGATATACAATTACTTCTTAATATAAAGCGCTTTCTTACACCTATATGTGTGTCACTGGATTTGTTTCTTTAGTCAACCCGGCCCAACACCCAATCCATAGTGGATTAAGGTATATTTGGGCAAATGTAAAATTAGAAGAGCTTTATGTTCCGAATCTTAACTGTTAGAGTACAAATGGGGGCCTACTGGGTTGCCAAAGAGCTGAGCTGTACAGCACAACTAGATTTCAGTGGTGGCCACAATCCTACTCATTGAATCCTTGAGTGAAGGATGTTGACAAAACTCTCCCTGGGAGAATTATTTTTGAAGTTTCCCGGAGCCTGCTCCTTGCCTTTAGAAGAACAGAGGCTTGGAAATCCTTTGGGCTTTTGCTGACCCCCCCCAAGAAACAAAAGCGTATATTGGAAAGAGAGAGAGCGGATTTTATTCTCACGCGACACCAGTGCATACATGGTGATCACTGAGTCCATGTAAAGAGTCAATTGTTTCAGTCAAATATTGACTAGTATTATTAAGTTATAAACATTTCATAATAATTATCTACTGTGTCTTAAGCTTCTCCTTGCTAGAACCTGTTCCACCCACTGTTCCTTCTCAGGGAACTTGCTGCCAACCCTACTTTTTCCTACTGCCCTGTCCCCTGACAAAGCTCATTAGTGTCTGTTCCCTGCCCATTCCAGTCCTGAGATGTATCCATTTGTACAAATCCTCTCTCATGTCAAGGACAAAGCTGTGCTGCTGGTTTTCAGGGTCCTCTCTAGTCTCCCCTCACCTGTGCTTTTGGATCTGGCCCCAGTCCTCACAGGGAAAGATGAGGCTGTGTGCTCCTGTAAAGATTTACAACTTTTATTGGATGGCTGGGGAGAAAGATGGGACATGGTGGGTTCCACCACAGGGACAGCAACTTGAAACCACCAGCCGCTCTTGAGGAGGAAGATGGGGCTTTCTCGGGAACTCACGGGGGCAATTCCACCCTGTCCTGTAGGGGCATTATGGGTTGGCATCTACTTGGTGGCAATGAGTTTGGATTGGCTCAGTTTATTGGATTGCTGTGCGTTGGGGGTTCTCGGTGCAGTTCGGCAAGCTCATGAAACATGGCTACTGTGACAAATAATAGAAATGAATCAAGGTGTGTGTGTGTGTGTGTGTGTGTGTGTGTGTGTAGGGGGGGAATGAACCAGGTATTATAAATAAATAATAATGTAAGGTTATATAATGTTGTAACTTGGTGAGTTGCCCATAGTTGAAAAAATAGAGAATGAAGTAGGTCGGTTTCTACTTTATAGAGTGGACTGACTTATTTTGGGGCAAGTTTTAGACTTTGAAAGACTTTC